CTCTTAACAAAGTTCATTCGCAAATTTTAAACATAATTTTCAAACATAACCAAATTCCAATTAAACTTGTACATAGATAATTCAACCTACCAATTTCATGATTCAACTTTCAATTTGGGCCAAATAATTGATTATCATCAAAAATCAACCTAGGGTTTCTAGAAAAACCTAGAAATTTCAAGAAAAATTCAAACTTCTTAACCCATTATTTTTTCTTCCAATTTTCCCCTTGATTATATATCCTAGGTTCATAATCCATAATCTAAACCCAACAATTAAACCCCAAATTCTTCAAATCCGAAATCCCCAAATTTCCATAATATAACCCTATATGCTCAACATGTAGATTTTGCATTTATATACTCTAAAATACCAAAAATCTATCTATTTATGTAAGCATTGAAGGAGAACTAGGACCCCTACCTCAAGATTGAAAGCAAGGAAGCTAGGTCAAGAGCATAACTTCGAAATTTCAAAATCCCATCGGTTGAAAATGTTGATCTTCACTTGTTCTTCATCGTTGATGCAAAATCCATGGTTGATTTGTTGATAAAAGTGGAGGAAATCAAGGTTTTTAGGGCTAAGTTTTTGGACGAAGAGAGGAAAAGAAAATGTAAGAAATGGTCCCAAAATCACGTTTTTTTAGCTGCTGTCCCGCACAGCCCGCACGTGCGGCGCTATTCCCCGCACGTGCGGCTCTGCTTCCAGCACAGATGTGGAAACTTCAAACGGGTATAACTCTCTCATCGGGACTCCTTTCTAGGCCGTTCTTGTGTTCAAATTGAAGCCCCGGAAACAAGCTTTCCAATGGTTCCAACCTCACATTCAAATTCTAAGTATGGAAGGACAAAAGGGCAAAAGAGTGACGGGTGGTCAAAAATTCAAACTCAAATTTGGGACTTTTTATCTAATCTTATCTATATATCTTGTTAATGCTTCGATCAAGGTTCCAAACATCATCCAAAGGTCCTCAATTATAATATTTATAGTTCACTTGCCAACCCATCAATATCAAGAGTCCGACAACCATACAAATTTTAAGGTGACAGGCACCACTATATATCAATCCAATTTGAATTTAAAATCCGAGTCGTTACAGGTTTAGTGGCCGGCCACCACATGATGGTGTCCTCCCATGTGTATAGAACACAACCCTGTGGTTAAAAGTCCAAGAAAGAGGGTCCAAGGTATTCAACATTAGCCCGGAAGGAGGGGTTCAAAAGGGTCAGGAAACATAACTGGCCGGCCACCAACTTTTAGGGTCCTCTCAAGTGTGTACATCACAGATATGTGGTTCAAAGTTCAAGAAAGTGGCCCCAAGGTATTCAACATTAGCCCGGAAGTGAGAAAAACGGGCGTCGGAGGGCGCCGGAGGATATATAACTGGTTGCTGCAACAATTACTGGCCTCCCACCCTTCAGTGACCTTCCCGGTGATAAAACAGAGGTACCTGCCAAAAATGAACGAAAACCGTTGCAAAACGAATGTTCGGGGGCCAAAACGCGCAGTTCGGGGTCCCGAAAATGGGCTGTTAAGCACCGAAAGTGGCATTCGGCCACGAAGTGGGTTTCTCAGACCCCAGTGTTCCTCAAAAGGGAGAAAATAAGATGTATGCCAAAATTTAGAGTAAACGGAGATGGTTAAGCGGTCCCGAACCGAGGCACACGGCCAACGGTCTCGAAAAATCGAGAACCGGGCTCCGAAATGGACAAAATGGCCTACGGCCACCAAATGTAGCCCACGGCCACTGAGAGATAGTCTACGGGACCTCTCCTTCCCCTCCAGAAAAGAAACAGAGAAAACCGAGTCTGGTTCGCAAACCGAGGCAAGGAACAGAAGAGGGTTCGGAAGTCCGGAGGCAGGGCTCACGGCCGCGACTCTGAAACTTCTGAACGAGCACATTATGCAACATCACCAAGCGCTCAATCAGTGACGTATGAGTCTTAAGGTCGGTCAAAAATGAGGTGTCTAAAGTTGCCCTCTTTGACAGAACTCGGAGTCACAAGTTGAACGGGAGTGATGTTAAAGCCCAGAGACGAACCCATTTTTGACAAGGCCGAAGACACTAGACAAACATAAAAAGATAGACAGAGATATTACACACAGGCGATCGCCCCAGGCGAAAGGGGGCAAAATGCAAATGGTATGCAAGAAGATTTTGAAGATTGGGACTTATACGCTTACGCGAAGCCGGTTTTGAAAGTTGGACTTATACGCTACGCGAAGCCGAACATCACTCATGATCATGCGAATGCAGCAAGCTGTAATGAAGCAAGTATTCGCAAATAGATGCAACAGTTTTAAGCAAGAATGCAAAGGAACAACTATATTTCATGCAGTTAAGGATGCGGAGAATTATTCAATCCTCGCCACGTCTCACCCGGAGAAGATACGATACCTGCGCGATTCGTCTGGTCACACCAGCCTCAAATGAACCGTACATACAATATCGTGCCTGCAAAAGAGAGAAATTCAACAAGTATAATATGTTTCCAACATATATTCAATGCGATTTCGAAAGTTTGACACACGCAGTGCCGGTGAGTGAATGCATCGCAATGCAAGAGTGGAACATGCGTGACAACGCATGCTCAAATATAGAGGTATGGCAATGTCAAGAAATGTACATAATAATGCAAGTATGCTCATGAGAATGCAAGTTATGTGCATGATAGTGCAAAATGAGCATAAATCAGGGTGCCCGTTTGTCATGAAATAACGAGCAAGGAAATGCGTGTTTCGGCGAAGGCGACTTCGATGATGGCCTTTGATTCGATTTCCTGGAAAGACCACAACATATTCAAAAGGAAACATCTTGATTTTGATGAATAATGATGAGACCCATGTCAGAATTTGAAGTTCAAGTTCCGGCGGAGCAATTTCGCGACAGAAAGTGCACTTTTCTTGAACTTTTTCAGGTCCCGGGAACTCCAATCTTCTTCAAAATTTGCAGAGAGCTAGGTGGAAATGTGGGGGACACCACCGGCCGTTCATCTTCCCAAGGGGAGGCCACCGGCCGCTTTTGCAAAAAGGAATTGGCTGGCTGGCTGGAAAAGGTGGCCGGCCGGCCATTTGCCCAAATCCGGGGCATTTTGGTCTTTTTCACCTCCTTTCTTCATGCTCCTTCATCCCAAGACCTTAAGCCTATAAATGCAGCCGAGAAGTGCTCTCTTCTTGCCTCCTACACCATTTTCTTCTTCAGATCTGAGTTCCATACGCGTTTTCCAACATCCCTCGCAAGTTGTTTTCGCGA